TGGTTTAATTGAACACTACTGATAACTTCGAATAACTAAAAAGATTAAGAGATTTATGATAAACTATAGTTTCGTAAGGGAAAAATTGAAGAGGTCCAAAGTCTAAAAAGATCAAGTTATAACGGACAAAGTTAAGGAAGACTAGAACAGTCGTGCGTGTATCTATACAAACCATTCTAAAACAACTAAACCGAAAATAAATAGATAACCGAAATGAGTAAATCAATATTCTTAATACTTCACCTTCGGAATGGTCGGCCTTGTCCTTAATATAGATACCTTTTCGCTTTTTCTTTTTTTCCATCTAAAGATTTTGGTTTTTATCATTGATCGAACATATATTACAAATGAGAATACGACAAGCTTTAAAATGGGGAGCGGATCCCAAACGAGAAGAGCAAAACTCAAGCAAGAGAAACATACGAAATCGAAATTACAATACAAACTAGAGCTAAGCAATTAATCAATACCTTTTCGCTTTTAAAATTGTCTTCTTCTTTTCGATCAAAAAATAAAAAGTTGTCCTTTTCTAATTTACAACTTCCTTGTCTCGAATTTATACTAGTAGTTTGGCCGATTGTTTAACTGGATTTTGAATGCTTAATTTCAAAGGATTAAAACTATTTATGTAGGTCAATATCTTCAAGTCTGGATTGGTGACTTGAACATCTTAGGAAAAGACAAAAGAAAAAAACTACCGTAAAACATCAAAAAATTTTGAATGACAAAAAATTGCATGTACAAACCACAAAAAAGGACTAAATCTATGTATTATCATATAAGCATCTATATATTAATCCACAACTTCACTACTAAACAACTTGAACTTATTAGCATCAAGAACAAGTTTCCTCACGGAGGAGAATGCTCCCATGAGTCCCGCACAAGTAAACACAACCATTATCGTCATGTTTATCCAATACGTGAAGCTTTTCTTCGTCGGCTTGTAGGTCATGTTGTATAGAAGCATTGGCAGCACGAAATCCAGTGGTATGAACCCAAACGCTCCTACCACCGCGTTTATATCCCCGAAAAACGGTAGCATTGCTGCCATGAACCCACAAAACGCCATATACAGCGATCTTAGTATCAAACGCGGCACGAGGTTTCGTTTTGAGAACATCCCTTTTGTTGTATCCGCCGAGTTCTTCTCCATTATCTCATACGCAACTTGAGAATACACCTAAGAAACAAGCAAAAAACAACACATTTAAATTGATTGATATGAAACTTCTAAATATCGATCTATCAGAGGTAACTTGATCTGCAAGTTGTGTTATCTTGCTTTCCAAGTAACAATCAGTATGAGAATTGGTAGTTCAACTTACGAGGCCAATGGCGAAAAGCTGAAGAAGAACAAAGATGACCGCAAGACCAATGACCACGATAGGAGCCAGAGTCGGTCCCTCGTCAGGCATAAGGTTCTTGAGAATATTAGAGCTCGCATTGTTACCAAATACCCAATACCCCGAAATAGCAGCGGAGTAAAACGTGAAGAAGATCACACTATAACACAACAATAGTCCTTTCAACATCTTCCCCGTGGCCGGTGGAGCAAGAGTTGCCTGCATTATATATTAATCATCACATTGTTAAATCTAAAAGCTCATACTAACATATAATGTTTGAATGAATGATACTCCGGACATATTTCACCTGTATTTCGGGTAGAATTCCATTTCCGAAAATAGCAGCTATGATCGAAATCGAGGTGAAGGCACTAAAAACTTTCCCTGAATCCGAATGCTCTAGAGAATAGTCACGTTTAGGAGCGTGGTTAGACAAACCTACAGAACCAAAACAAAAGCATTTAATCTCGAGTTTCAACATTAGTCGTTGTTTTGCTAAATGTAATCAATCATCGTACCTAGATTGATACAAGCCCCAACGACGAGGAAAGTGTAGCCTAAGCTGAGAAGCAGAGACACAAAGTTAATATGTCTAAGAGAGTGAAAACTCGGTAGCTGCGAAAGAACAATCATCACAGCTGTAACCATAGCGATGAACTCGTAAAGCTTCAAGGGTCCTTGTGGGTAAAGACTCGAGTACATTATCTGTATAAACATAGAACAAAAAAAAACAGAGCAAGATTAATAATGATCCGTACAGTTTTTTTAAAGTGCCTTGTTTCACAAGTAATTAGGGTTTTTTGGTTTTACTTACATCAAGACATTGTCCTGCGAGTAAAATGGCGCCAATACCAATTCCAGTGTTGATAGCTGTTTGAATGAAGACCACAACGTAAAACATCCATCCTGATCCTGTACCACATTACAATAACCGGTTTTTAAACCAACAAATAACCACATTGCACGTAAAACAAAATCAAATAAAGTGCAATTGAACAAAAAACTTTAACTATTACTATTATTTTCTTGAAGCCAAAACAAAATTCAACTAGCCTATAGATTATTCTCA